AGGAAGATAGTTTTCGATCAATTTATGGTGCACTATTCAGGGAATGCTCTTGCTACTTAACTGTAGTTAACTATAATATTTAACTATTCGATGAAATTTGAAAAATTATGGAAAGGGTTGGTTGGACAATTTTTCTTATAAAATTTCACTCTGTTGAAAAGTCAATTGAGAGTCCTAATCAAGAATCGCAATAGATTCAAAAATCCAAATGGTTTCTCGAAATTCAAGGATCATTTGGCTCAGAAAATTCTATCAATTCCGTAAGCAATTTATTCCTAAAGTGAATGGAATTCTCACCCAATATTGTTATGAGTGAAGTTAATTATTTAAATAATTATTTAGTCGATCAAGGTGGTTGTGAAATGGCAGTGGTATGAAGTCCATTTCCCTCTCGGAATTTCTAATTAACGAACCATGTGTCTTGGTCTCAGAAATTATGTCTGTTTCCCTGTTTCAGTATTCTTTCGTATCTTAACCACTGGGCTATTGCTGCCCCTATTGAATCGCGTTACTATAATGACGTATACTATAATGAAGTATAAAGTATACTTGACCCAAGTCTATTTTTTTCACTGCAAATGCTCAAGATTGAAAAAGTGATAAAATAATGGAAACCTTTTCATCTCAGCTGATAGATCCTATTCAACATGAATGAGACGATTGAAATTGAATTACGTGTAGCGATAGTAACCAAAGGTCCTAGAATGCGGACTGGGTGTTAGTTTGAAATGGACAGCAAGACGAAAATGAATGAGAAAGCACCGCCATATATTTGCCCAGGAGTCAGCACACGATTGTGGTCCATATGAAGGATCAGGTAAGAGAGTCTAAAGATGAAACCGATGCTGGGGGGAAGTGAGAGGAGCACTGGAGAAAAGGCGCGGCGAGAGGAGGAGGAGGATGAGGAGGAGGAGGAGGAGGAGGAGGAGGAGGAGGAGAATTGCTGAGAGTGGAGTTTTGCCCCCTCTTCTTCTTCCAACCGTTGACTCAAACGCCCGCGATATCTCGACCAATCGAATTGCACCGTCGGCTCCGCCTTTTATCATTATTTTACTTGTTTTCCCTTTACTTTACCCCCATTGGATGACATCCGCGGGCGCAGATCCCCCACTGGTGTCGCTAAAAAAAATAATAATAAAAAAGGATGTATCCTTGGCACAGCCGTATCCCTTTTTCCTCTCGTTTCCTCTGGAGGAACCTTGAGGATAGGCCATCACACCTCTCGATCCTCCAGTGATCTGCCCAGTGTGGATCCAAGTGGACTCTAGACGGCATTCAGCACTTATCCTACTCGCATTATCCACAGACTCCTTGAGAGACCATTCGCACCTAAGATCCACTGCTTCAAATTATTCCGTCTCCTCCGACACTTGAGGGCAAAGGTCAAACGTAATATTATAGTCCAGTTTAAAAAACGATGTCAATTCAAAATAATTTATCTTGAAGAATTCTCTGCGCTGATGCTCGCAAGGGATAATTCATGCAATTTTCGGGAGAGAATTCTTTAATTGAGTTTTATATTTGTTAAAATATAGTTAAAATTTGTGCTCCAAATGCATCGCGGAAAGTTAATATTTGATTAACGTGACATTTTTTTTTGAAGATGGAATACTTCTTTGTTCGCATATTAAAGTACTCCTCTACGACTAATGCCCATTTTCCAAGTTTTGTTCCGGGAAGATTCAATATTTTTTGAATTCATGGTTCATGATAACTGTCATTACAGGATAATAATGGGATGGAAATGATATGTTCCCAGTTCGTCTATTAGGTGCTGCATTTTTAATTTCATACCTCAATGATCATCAATTTTAGATTTCTACAATGGAATCTTTCCTAGACTCACAATCAGATTTCTGTCCTTTCAACATTTTTGCAAAATTCAGTTTAAGATATTTTCATAATTAATTCACAAGAATGGATTACTGAAAAAAATAGTTATTTGTGGAATGTTTTCATGTGTAATTCAATGAAAGAATTGTATGATTAGAAATCTTCGAATAACAAGTATTTCAACTTTTTTTCATAGAGAAACTTCAATAGTTTATATTCAATATTCATTTGAGATAAAAGTGCTGCTCTTCTTCAATAAAATCATAAGAAAAAGGAATCAGATGAAGAATTCTACGGTCCTTTATGTAAGTAACGCGTACAGTCTAAGGAATTTGGAACAACATGAACTTGTTGTTCTGTATTCCACCGCTGAAATCAAGTTTATTCAATGATAAATCATTCTAACGACCCAGTCAGTTCTGAAGGCTCATTATGCCTTATTAAGGCTTATCTCTAGGTGTATCTAATGCATATACGGTGTGAATTTAACATTAAAAAATCTACTTAGTAATTCACCGATTGCGAATTGGATAGCAATTCTTACAGAAAAAATTCGACTTGAACCAATCACACTCATGTAAATTCGCTTCAATTTCTCCCACCATAATTCGAGATACTCTGTCATATTCGAGCTTCCCCTCTCAATGAGAGAAATAACATAGTTTGTCTAATGAAGATACCTGTTTCATCCTAAAAAATTCGCTTTGCAATCGGTAGCCCGTACAATAAAAATATGACTTACAGTCGCGTTCGCGTAAACTTGCTCGAATTTTCCTTCCAATTCAGCATAGTCCGTCGTATTCGACTTTTCACTTTCAATTCGAGATATTGTCCATGCTTTTTTTTAGTAAGTAGTAGGAAGAATTCCTCGAGATAGGGATAAATTTGATGAGATCAGTGAATCTCCTTAGCCCCCCAAAATAATGCAAAGTTACATGTAGCAAAGAAAGAGCAACCCATACCGACACATCGGTGGGTTGATCTGGCGCATTGTATCGCATTGTATGTATATTGTGTAGGCGGTTGAGGGCTTTAAACCGTCGGAAAAGGGGGCAGAAAAGGTGAACAAGCGTAAGACAATGTAAAGCTGGCACGGGGCAGTCGGAGATGTAACCTATGCCTGTGTTCTTTCAGATACCAAACAGCAGTCGGAGTTATTTTTTTGTCTTTGTTGTGGGGCACCAGAAAGGGTGCCGATGGGAATGCCACGGGAATATGCAAGAGGTACATAAGCACGTGCATTGTTGGTGGCTGCTGAGATTCGAAAGATTGTCGTGATAATGTCAATATCACACCCCTGGGGTCCTTCCTTCTACACAAGTTCTTTTTTTTTCATTTCATTTGACCTTGAATGCGCGAAAATGTTCTTTATTATTATGTTCGCCTCGCAGTGGACCAATTCGCGTTCTTGATGAATAAAAAGATGTCACCAGCTTGTAAGGTTACAAAAAATATGGACCCCTGTCGCTGTGGACCTTTTTAGAGTCGGAGTACTTGTGAAGAAGAAAACAATTTGTTTTCATTACAAATCGATCGGGGCACTTTCAATCTTCATGAGAGAAGAAATTTTATGCACATAACATTGGGATTCAATACAATATATGAACAAACTGTAAAAGTGGTGTAGTGAACACATGAGCAATAAACTGAATTGTATGACAAGTAACTAAAAAAGTCACGTCAATCCTATTTTTCTCCTCAATTCTCAAGTTTTCATGCGAATTCGTGAATAAGTGTTTTATTTTTCTATATAAATTATTGAGCAACGATTTAGTAGGTTTGTTTGAATCACATTCTAGAATGCAATATAAAATTAAATTTCGTCAAAAAAAAATGGGAAATCTATGGTCGATAATTGTCATAGAAAATGTCGATAAAATTATTTAAACTAAAATTAAATATGTTAACTACTTCTTACTGAATTTGATGTTTTTCGACAAGTCATAACCACGTAAACTGGAATGAATTGGTGCATCCGAATCCTATTACTCGATCCTGAAACATTAAAAGTAGAAATCGATGATTAGATGAAAAATTTAAAACATAATAGATGTCAGAAATGAGATTATCGAATATAACACAAAGATCCTTCCAGGGATTCGAAGCTTTTGATGCTAATATCGTCTTTGCATCAAAGCATATTGAAAGATGAATGGTGACCATATAAAATGGTCTGATGCAATCATTCGATACCTCGTAAAATGTCTTCATATAAAGCCATGATAAATATAAATAATTATATAACTTCACCGACATTATGTAGTCTAGGAATAGAGTCGTGAGTGTCAAAGCGGGAACCTATGAGGGAAATTTGAAGGTCTGATTGATAAAATCGCACCGATGATTCATTACAAAATGTTTTATTATGCACCCCGAATAAAAATGCAGAACTTGTAATCAGATATCTTTCTCTTGAAGTTACACACGCCAAACTTTCTTAATCTTTAGAACCATCAGAAAACTGACCTAAGTCTCGTGACGTCTGCTTTGGGTCCTTAACATCAGTCACCCTAGATTCTTCATTCTAGCATCTCCACACTCGTATTCGGTATTATGTAAAACCCCTTGTATTCCCTTATTCTGTTTTCGACTCTAAAGGTCGACCCTTTTTTTGTAAAGCGTCGATAATAAATTTTCTGTCAATTGGAACAATTAAGGACAACAGAATAAAAAGAAAAGGCACGGTATTTTAAAACTCACATACTGGGGGAATAATTCTAACCGACAGTTACAGAACTAAATCATAAGAAAAGAAACATTTAACCTTCTTCGGTATATCACGATGCACTAGAGACTGCATTACTTCGTACAATAATAATTGCAACAATAAAAAATTGTTGAACTGTTAGTACAATACAAACGATTACAAAATCTCTGGGTTAATTTCCTTCGATATTTCTCTCCGTGCAAAATTCCGACAACTATATATATTCTTGCACTTTTAACTGATTGATGACCAGGCTTACCTGTTAATAAATTATTCTTATGATGTGATGTGCATTAGAAAAAATTTTTATAAAAAAAAACCGTCAATTCTCTCATTTTGCTGCGGTTAATCTTAATTATCATTTCGTCGTCATACCCCTCATTATCGTTTCTATTGTGTATTTATAGTTATCGCAGTTTGTTTTGCAAGCGATAACCACTACGTAAGTGCTTATTAGTCACTTGAAGCAGTTTTCTCGGCTAGTTACAAGTCAGAAATACTTCAAAGTACGCAATCGATTAATTTGACGTCACAAACGATTTTAGAAAGTATTATTCTCTTATATTGTTGTGTACCAAAAATAATCTTCTTTATTCAAACCCTTTATATCTCTTTCAGATTTCTTTCACGAACGATACAACAAGTAGTAATTTTTTAGTTATGAAATTCCTGAATTCTACATTATTTTTATTTGTAATCGGTATGGGTCAATTGGTGATTAGTGAAACTAATATTGATGAAATAATGGAAAAACGTTAGTATATATATTAAAATTCACGTATGTTGCGGCCACGAATTTACATTTTATTCAATGATAACTCAATGAAGTGACGCAGTAAATTGTTGCAGTCAATCTTACCGAAAAAGCTTTGCCCATTCCTAATTGTCCTGAATTCTGTGGCGACTATTGCAATTACTTGGCGGATCTGAAAGGCCGATGCACTGGTAATGAGTGTAAATGTAGCTAAGTGGAATCTCATGTAACATTAATTGTCATTTCATCAATATTGATGGATAGAAAAGTCGGAGGATGGAATAAAAATCATGTGATTCGTTGCAATATTCATATTCTGTGGTACCTATTCATGGGGCGGGATTACTAATAGTCTCCAAGAAGTTTATCGATCTGCTATTGTTCACTTTGTACGTAGAATTACACGTTTTTTTTTCATAATTGCAACAACTACATTTAGGTCAGTTCTTTAAAAGGTTTCACCAAGTTTAATCCGGGAAACTCATCATCTTCGTTTAAAATCTTCCATAAAACGTGAAATTTTCGGCAATTTTTATAATTATATTATAATTTTATTATTTTTATTATTATTTTTTATTATTATTGCACTATAGATTTTTCATTAACGTGCAACTGAAAAAATTCATTCGCAAAAATTATTCTAGAACGAAAATTTGAACTGTTGAAAATTCTGCAATTATTTGATGATTGTGTTATTTTGTTTTCGGTTTTTTTATTTTTAAGTTGAAAGAAGTTTATTTTTTCACCTCCACATTTACGAAGAATTCTACAGATATATCGTATCTTTTGGTTCTTGTTAAAAATTTCAAGTTTTCGTATCTAAATTTTTAATTTTCATTTCCAAAAATTGTAGATAATATTTATTTTCCCATGAGGGATGATCCATGGCCCATAAATTCAAGAATATATTTACAGGAATTTAGTGGAACGAAAAATTAGAGTTCTGTTTGATTTTTCAAATTCCGAGTTTGCAGTGGAAAAATGTTTGAAATTTGTGTGGAATCCGCTAGCTCTATAAAACCTGGCGGAATTTTCGTGTGTATTTCTTCAATAGATACAAAGAGAAAAAAACACTCGTAAAATAAGCGAACTTTTACGTAATCGAGGGGCGACTGGAGGTACGTATAGAAATTGTCCAGAGAGTTTCGTAAAAATGCAGCCCACAATTAAAGGAACACCTCACCATTACGTAAAAGTTGCGTAATTTTTCAAGTATTTAGCTCTCCCTGTGTGATAAGAGACGAATTTGCGGCGTATGAAATAGCCGTAGAGAATAAATAGGACGATTGGCGGGATATTAGAAAGCGTGAGGGTAGGATATACGAATCGGATAGCGATTTGTTCTGAAAAGCAATATAAAGCCCAGTGGGCGGTATTGCAGAGGTCGGAAATCGGGAAGGTAAGCGTGGCCTTTTCCCCCGAAAATTTGCATGAGGTATTAAAGCACGGTGGCTGGGTTTTCAGCGGGTTGAAGTCGATGTTTGCCGACAGGGCGACAGTCACGCGATCAAAGGATCTCTGCTCTCATTCCATCACCCAGCCATTTTCCCTTTCTCCGTAATTGTCTCTCTTCCTCTCATCTGTTTCTGGCCCTCTGGTCCATGAGTTTGGCGAGAGTTACCTTTTAGTCCTACGAAAGTTACTTTGGTTTCTCTTTGTGTGTCCCGTGAATCGTCTTATTCCCCGTAGGACAGCGATTCCCTCGTTTGCTACCCCTCATTCCACCTACCTATATACCTTTACCAGTCCCACCAGTCCCCACAAGTGATTCACCCACCAAAACACTACCAAGGAATGTAAATTTCGTGGCAAAACTTCCCTCCTTTCCTTTTAAACACAAGAAATCGTAAACCAGAATCACTCGTATCTTAATTACTCTGCAGTGGAGGTTAATTATTTCACGGAGACACGAATAAATTCCACTCAGAACATCTTCATTCAGCGTTCATTCTACCTCGCATTGACTCAATATTCTACCTATCAAATGTACACTCCGACCGCTATTTTTTTTTTTCTATCTCATGGCACATTTGGATTTACGGCGATAGCACGTGCTATCGATGGAACTGCTACATGTTTTCATTGAGGCGTAAAGATACCTCTAAAGAGATCTACAGGTGGAGGTTTCCTATAAAAACTTGGGTTATGGCTGGATTGTCCTGGTGATTAACGAAATTACTTTTAAGGCGATGGTTATAATGAATAATTGGGAAGGTGTGCGTGCCCGCAAATGTATTGATAGGACAAATGAAATTTCGGTGACAGGAAGGCAACTTTCAGTTGCACTGAAAATTCAGGAAGATATGAAATTTCAGGATTTTTTTCTTATTCACTACATTCAGTCCTCCGTGGATAAATATATAAAAGAAATATATAATATTTGGTCAGTTTTATATATTAAAAAAAATATTTCATACATACAGTTGATATGAATTTTATACTATTGAAGAAATTAGCAGAAATCCTAAAATCGCTAGAATTTTGAATTATGTAAGTGTAAATTCAATTTAAATTAACAACTGTCACTCAATTCCTTATTTATTTAAAAATTCCAGAAAATTAATTTTGTCTTTTTAAATAATGATTTGTTTTTAATAACAGCTTGAAATAGCTTGAATTAAATACAGCCGACTTTTGAATGGATTGAAAATTCAGGGGATTTATTGCTAGAATTTTTCGAAGTTTTTTACATTTTTACCAATTACCAGAATATTGAAGAAATTAATTGATTCATCAACTAAGAATTCTACATACATTTCAAGTCAATTGGCCGAGTTGAAAATTTCACGTCTTTTAAATTGAAATTTGCATTTTACTTTTCAAAAAGTGATAATAATATTTGTTCTGTCTTTGTGTATCCTATAAAAATTCAAGAATATGTTAGCCGGAATTTTTTACTGTTCTACTCATTTTCCCAGAAAAGCAGAACGAGAAGTGACAGTTTTGTTTGATACTTGAAATTTTGAATTCTCAATGAAAAAAATGATGGAAATTTGAGTGAAATTGTAAATCAAAATTTTGTACGGAAAATTCAAAAAACATTTTTGAAATGGTTAAATATTTTCTTAATTATTTCCCAGGATTAGTGTGTTTCTTTTGATTTTGTAACGTAAGCAACACTACATGGGGAGAAAAATACTCGAAGAATTACAGTACTTTCATGTAAACATGGGGCGACCTTGGTTTTTAGGCAAAAGTACTGGAGGCACCGCAAAAATTGTCCTGAAAGTTTCGTAAAAATTTCTGCTCGCTCGGACAATTTTTACGGAATTGCAAGTACTTTTTTCCAAAAAGCAAAATCACCCCACGATTAAGTCAAAGTTACGGAATTTTTCAACTATTTTTCTCTCTGTGTAATATTTGCCCAATTGGTTAAGCATTATTCAAATAGCAAAGATAAAGATAAAAAGCTAATATAAGTATCGTAGAATGATCTGATACATGTAGTCTTACCCGAAGAAGCGATATTTTTCGTTTTATCTGAAGAGGACAAGGCAGAAAAGAGAGGAAATGACAGAGAGATGAGCAGCCTTCTATCAACTGATGAATGGGTCCTAGGACCCATCTTAGTTATGCGATGCGTGGTCCCGTCGACATGCATCACTGCCAACTCATCACAAAAACGGTTTCTACGTGGCCAAACGAAAATGTTGGGGAATATGATTACGCGCGTTAACATTCTCGGAACAAATGTTGGACGCTTTTGGTTTTGACTCTTCGGTTGGCCTTCAAAAGAGAACAAGCACTGATTTTCAATCTTCGCGTGTTTTCTTAATTTATGCAAATCGATGAAAAGTCTCTGTAAAAAAAAATCTCAATATATTTTTAATGTTCATTGTTAAAAAAATGGCAAAAATGCCAAATTTTCTAAACTTCATCTCTGATTTCGTGCTGATGTAGCCGCGAAATTAAATCATGCTTTCACCTCATATGCTAGTATTGGTGAACCCTAGTCATCAAGATTAATTAGAATTCAGTTAAATTATTAATTTTTTATATATATTCATATAACTTACTTGAGAGCAATATGTGTATTGTTTCAAAATGTTATTTCTTCAATCGAATAATTTTGATGCGATCCCGATTGGGTTGTATAAGTAGTCCTCATATTATTTTAGGAGATCATTATGAGGCGTATGCCCACGGATAAACTACACTGCTTATGATTTATTTCCCTTAAATAATAAGTTAATAATAAGTTTCCTTAAGTAAGTCAATCCTTAGCAAAGGTATTATTTCACCAGTCTACATAATTTCTCAATTATGCAGGACGAATTCCCAATAAAAGAGATTTTTCTTCTAGAAAAAATGAGGATGATTAGGATCGAGTGTTTTCCCAGCTGTCTACAGCTACTTAATCAAGCGTCGTCAAAATCCATTTGACGAAATATTTGACTAACAAAAATTTAATTTCCTCTAAAAAGAAAAAGCCAAGAATCATCAATCACTTGCCTATACTGATTTATTCACGACTGACAAATAATCGACTGAGCACCGATGTTCATCTCATCACCGGGTTCCAATGTATACACTTACATAACTCGATTTTACGTAATCGACAAAATGCGGGATATTCAAGGAAAAGAAAGAGGAGAATATAGAAGGAAAGGAGAGAAAAATAATTCTAGAATGATTCATGTTGTAGCTGTCTCATTGGGAAGTCCCCTCGGGACATTGTGTGCGAGGTATCCATACCACTGCACTTTGGCCCGCAAGGATATAATTTTAGGACGCGGGCGGACACGCGGTAGTGCGTCCGGAGATGGAACGGAATGCAAAAACCTCGAGAAACCTTTTTGGTCGAATGAATTCAGCGAGTGGAAAGGAGAGAGAAAGCTTGATTCCCGTCGCGTTTTACAAATTATTCAATTAGCCCCTGCGTATTAAGATATAAATATTCATTGTTCCTGATACGCAGACCCGGCATTTGAAGACCACGGGCTCCTGGGCTACACATAAACCTCCCGCGGGGTAACAACAAATGGATAACATTACAGAGGTCCACAGTCAAAACGCATAAACAATTCCGGCGGGCACGTGCGTTAGACGCTCTAACGGTTGTATATGCGCGCACTTGTCGGCTTCTCCCATTATTTCCGCCGAACTCGAAAATTGCATTCAACCGCATGTTAAATCATGAGAATTTTACGCTCTGGTGAAGGAGCTTCTTTATTTGATTCGCCTGGAGTACGCGTAGAGGTGAGAAATATCGACAAAATGTCGGAGCATCTGTACTGATAAAACCGCTTATTTATATCGAACGAGATTCGTTATGGGGTTTTATCGGTAAAAGGTTAGAAAGTGAACTTTC